ATGCGTTCGTATCACGGTCAGCTTCTCTTTCACATTTTTTTTTTTTTCTTTTTTTCTTTTTTCTTTTTTTACATTCCTCCCTCTTGAATAATCGAATCACCGGTGGTAAAAAGAGCTGGCAAAAAAATGAACGAGTAGCCGTGTCACAGGGCTACGCGCCACATGGACGACCACGGATCCAACGATTCAATAATGGTCTCTTTTTTTTTTTTTTTCTTTTTTTTTCTTAGAAGAATTTCGCATAGATATAGATTGCTGTACGGTAAGGTAATAGTAACAAAAAGAATTTATTGATAAAATTTCGATTAAAAGAATATTTGTAAGTGACATACGTTTCACGGTACGATAAACAATAATGTCGAGTTTCTATTTCAAATTATCTTGTTTTTTTACATTCATCGTGTTCACTTTTAATTTAAATTTATAATTAAAATAATGTAGGATGCACCATGATCTGAACATGAATATTTATTGTAATTTATACATGTTGAAATATTTTGCATTAAATCTTGTTATAAAATTTTTTTGTTTAAAATTCTATAATTTTTTTTTTTTTTGTATGCTGGTACGATTTGAAGCGCAGATGCTTAAAATAGTTATATAGAGCTGGGTAAAGAAAAAAATCTAGTAAAAAATTTGCTTTTCTTAGTATGGTCGTAATAAAAGGCAAACGTTCGGCATCGTGAAATATAATCACCGAAAAGCGTCCCGGATCAATTCGGCATTATTAGCTCGAGCCAAAAGAGGGTCGTCCATTACTGGACAGCTGGACAATAGCAGCATTCGACTTTTTTGTTCTCTAACTCTGGTCAGTGTTATGTATAGATATGTTATGCAGCCAATTTTGTGCAATGGGTGTACGTTTTATTTAGATATTATATTGCGTAGATATATTAATTTCAAACAAATATTCCTTTTTGCAAAAGGAAATAATTGTTGAATAGTTGCAAAATATTTTTTATTATATTTCTTTCCTCTTCGCAGAATTCTTCGGAATTTCGCAGAAGAAGAACATTTATTTAAAATTTACCTTGAGAATATTAACTTTGAACTATTATTTGTTCGGAAAAGTTAATTTAAAGATAAATTTATGTAGGAATTTTTTATGTTAATTTTCTTAATAGAGAACTGCAAAAGTTTCTAAATAATATTTTAAGAAATATTTACTTTTACTAATAATTTTATTATAAATTTTCGTTATATAACACATAAAATAATAATGATAAAGACAAATTTTAAATTAAATCTCACATCTTACATTATATCAGTATATATTATATTACAGTATATATTATTGAGACTTAGAATTTTTATTTTAAGAATTATAAAAAAGTTCAAATATGACAAAATAGATAATAACTATGAAAACTTTGAAAAAACGCATAAATCAATCGTTCTCGCAAAAGATTGTTTCTGTATTATGATATATATTTTTATATTTGTATTATTTTTAAATTTCTATCCTGTTTATAAATAGATCTATTATTTTTAATAATTTTACATCTGAATACTATTATTATAACACAAACGAAATGTAAAATAGGATTTATTAGTTTATATGATTTCGTATTTCGTGTTCTGAAATACCGACCGTAAAAAATTAGAGGATTTGTTATGCCCTCTACATTGTTTAGTAACGAATTTGAGAAATATATTTTTCTCAATCAAGAAAAATAATAAAGTTAATAAATATAAATAAATATAAAAAAATTTTATTTTATTTACAAAAAGAACTTATTAATTTTATTGATTAAAAATAAAAATTTTGAACATTTATCATATCTATTTAACAGTTTATAAATTGATTGTAAGAAAAAAGTTTATATATATATACATATTCATATATATATTTTACACATAAAAAATAATTTTAAAATTTAATTCATTTTCTTGATTTATATTTCAGAAAGATTGCAGGATCTCTTTACCATATTAGTATCATTTTCAACGTTACCGATCCAGCAGGAATAAAATTGCATTATTAATAATAATTGGAATAGAAATTAAATTTTAATGATAAGTTATAAATACAATATATTAAAATTCTTTATGCATTTTTTCTTTTTTAATTTAGCATAAACCAAAACTTCAAGTTTAACTATTTTTAATTAATAATTATGAATAAATTGTTTTATGACTTGTGATTGTTATTATTCTTGTTATATAATTATTTTTTTTGTAAAATAATATTTAAAATATTTTATAATATTTATAATATTTAAAATATTTTAATATACTTATATATTAAAAATGAATATTAATGAAAGTATAAATGATATTTATTATAGTTTTATATTATAAAAATATGTCAAATCATTATTAATAATTAATTTTTATTGTATTTTTAATAAATGTATTTTCGTAGGAATATTTAATATTATAGAAATTCATAATTAATTCATATGTAATTCTTCAATTTTCGCGCGTTTAAGTAAATAAGGAAAGACGCCGATTAGCCAATTAGAAACACCTTAGGCAAATTCAGCCAATTAGAAACATCTTAGGCAAATTTGTGGCACGCGGCGTCATTGTTCTGCCGAAAAACATAGCGATAGGATGTGTTACCGGTTTCGAGGTGTTTCATTTCTACTACGCAATAAGTAAGTCTATTTCTATTCTATTAATTATAATCTATTGCTTTATTTATTTAATATTTAGTGTCTATTAATCATTATAATATCGAAATTAATTAATCCTTGAAGTTTTTTGGTGATTTTATTTTCAATCTTTTATTTAATTGTTGAGGTTATCGGTATCCTGTATCATATTGTAAAACATTTTAGTAGGATTTCAATTATTTACTCTATTTTAATTGTAAATTTATACATTTGTATGATCGTTTTGGTTTTTATTTTATTAGATTATCGTTTTATTGGCATCATTAAATGATATTGGAAAAATGGCGGATTTGTGCATGCACACCATGATTTATAGCCGATGATTTTCCTACATATCCGGTAAGATTTTATTTTTTCCATAAAAATAGACATATTAATATAGATTTTTATTCATTTTATATTCATATTGAAATAAAAATACAATAAATATTCATTATAATCAATTTTATTGCGTAAATTATTTAAATAATATATTTCCCTTTTCTAAATGCGTATATATTATTCTATATTATTTACTTTTGTCTTTTTTCTTTACTATGTTATGAATTAATATGTTATGTTATCGAGAATATGTTGGTCGAGAATATAAACATTTCTTATCATGTATCTTTTCCAAGAAATTAGGAATCGCGTTCGTGCCATGCTCGACATGTTTCGTTATGTTTCGATTTGTTGCCAAACTATCGAGTATATTCCCCCTCTCCAATCTAATTCGATAATCGAATTCGGAGCGCGAGGTGTCATTTTAGTCTCGATAATTATAGAGTTTAGACGTGTCGCGTTTCCTTGTGGTGTTATAATTTATTTCTGTGTAATATTTATTCATAGTTTTTTTTCTTATAGTTTACATATTAATTTATTAATACGTTTGTTATTAATACGTCTTTTGTTATAATTGAAAATTTTTTGACAACTAAATTATTTTTCTTCTTTTTATCCATCTTTTAAAATTACAGGTTAGAGTTACAAATAATTTATATTATGACTTTCTGAAATAAAATTTATATTTAATTATTATTTTATTTTAATATAATTGGTTCGTTCTATATATTTTATATATTTATTTTTTTATTTTTGAAGATTTTGAAGATTTTAATTTCCTCTTCTATGGATTATTGGACTACATTTTTAAGGCGGGAAAAAATTCAATATGGATGCCATTACATCTTTATGTCTTTATGTGGTAAAGTTGAATATTTTATTGTATTATTTTATTGTATTTTTATTATACTATTATACTTTTGTTTTTGTTGATTATTAATAATTTTTGTTGTTATTAAATAATTTATATTATATTATTAAAAATCATATATTATTGAAAATACTAAAATTAAAGAAAAAAGAACTAAAAGATCATTCTTTTTTCTTTTATTTCATTTTAATTTATTATAATATAAATAAATTCTATTTTATTATATACATATGACATTTTTTTATATTTGAAAAATTAATAATCAATTCGAAATTTAATATATCAATATTTTTCTTCTTTTTCTATTTTATTCTTTTATATTAATAACATTTTATTTTCAGAGAATTTTTGTGGCCGCGTGCAATGCGGTTAATAGAGTCAGTGTTTATTGCATAAGTTTTTTTAACGTTTTTTTTAAAGAACAATAGCATTAATTAAATTTAATTTCAATAATCACACGTGAAATTAGAGTCAGTGTTGTTCGTCAATTTCAATTTAAACGGATGTTAATCTTTTCTTTTTTTTAAATAATCGTTTTCAATTATAAGTTAGAATCAGTGCATCAACATAATAAAGTGATCATCCATCACGCGAAGAGGTAACTTTTATTTTTTTATTGAAATAAAATCAAAGATTTTTAACTTTTAAATTTCAAGTTGTATATTTTTTTATTTTTATTATTACGTTATTAAAATATTAATTTTTATTATTTTCATATTGCAAGTTTAATAAAATTTTATATTTCATTATTTTATTATTATTATTATTATTTTTTTTTTTTAAGAATTTTCTTAAAAACTCTTTTAAATTATTATGTTCTTTGTTATAGATATTTCTCAGCTTTTACAATGATTTCTTGTTATACATAGCTGTTTTGAACAACGTTCTTCGCATCTAATGGTGAGTCGCATGCATTTTTGTTCCTCTGGTCACTCAATCATGTCGTAGGATGAAAGATCTGAATCGACACGGGTGACTGGTTGTATACGTAGAATTTTGCACGAGCACAGTGACCATGGGTACTTATTATACCCTTGAGTAATAACACTTCTGTTTTTTGTGTTTTATTTATCAGATCAGGATAGGTTTTCTTGCACAACGTGTTTTTTTATTAAAAAATTAATAATTAATTTTATATGTTTGCTATATTAATTTATAAAATTAAAGTATTCAACATATGAATATTGGAATAAATAAAAAATATTGAAATTGATTTTAATTAATTGAATATTGTATTGAATGAAATTAAATCTCCTCTGATTTTCAAAAATATCAACCAAAAAATTATCATATAATAATAAAGATTGTACATTAACAATTTTTAATATATTGATTTTATTATTTAATATTTTTTTAATATATTAATAATGAACTTAAATATAAATTGAAAAGAAATTAATTTATTTTCTTCGTATAAAAATATATGAAATTTTATGTGCAAGAAAACATTTCGCGATAGGCAGATTTTGGAATCAAAGTAATATTTTGAACACTGTTTTCGAATTTTCGAAAATTTGCTTTGATCAAAAAATCGCCTAAGATTATTTTTATTAATATTTCATAAAGTGTCAATTATTTCTAATTATTAATTATTAAAAATAAATTTATTAATTAAATAAATAAATTCTTTGTACATTGTCTATATTTTTTCTTTTCTAACGTAAAATTAATAAAATTTCATTAAATTCACTAAATAAATTTATCAAAGTTAAAGTAAGATCAAAGAAAATTAGCCCGTTAGAAAATATTCTTAATACCTATTTTAGTTCAGGATTTTCAGGTTTAACCCTTTCCGTGTTTATTGCCAGGATCTCACTCACGTGCCCAGGTGCTACTTGAATGAAAGAAAGGCAATGAGCACGATGATCATAGTTTATAAGTTTATAACAATTTTTTATAGCGACTGACGATGGTTAGTGCATCGTGCACGACGTAATTTCCACATTGTATGCGTGTGGTTAGGCTGTGGAATTGCGTCGTTTCGATTATTAATTCAATTATGATTACACGTCCAGATTATAAATAATTCTTATTATTTTTATCATATCATTATATTAAATATTGATATTAAAATTCATATAATTTATTTTAATAATTTTGTTTTTTTAAAAAATTATATATATCTTTTAAATATTGACAATTGAAATTAATTATTTTTTTATCGCAATTTACGCAATGGTCACTAGCCATCCTCAGTTGATTTCAGAAAAATGGTACGTAAAGTTAGAGTGTGAAAGTAGCGTGCCAAGCTCGGGTGTCGGAGGCGTCCCGGGACGTTCTCCCTAGTTTAGGCACTTGCGCCCGAGTGTTATGCGTGAGAATCGTGGAATGAATGTGTTGGTATGTCTGCCTTTTGCCATTTTTTTAAATATAGGGTTAGGTAGGATAGGTAGTGTACTTTTAGTGTGCTTGTTAATTATAAGTAGGTAGGGCCGGGCAGATTGTTACTGTCTCTGATCGGGTAGGCGCGTTTTCGCGTGACAATCTGTTTCAGGAAATGAAATTTGAAAAATCGAGGATAAAGCTGAGACGAATGGAGAATGCTATTCGTCTCTGGTTTTGCTCTTCGATTTTTCGAATTCCCGCGGTCGCGATCGCGAAATCGATTTCGAAACGAACGTTGCGTTCGAGATTCTGCACGTCTATGTGTTTTAGATTCCGTGATTTAATATTTTTTTTTTTGTCAATATGATTAATGAATCTCGAGCCTAGATTTAAGTTACAGCGAGCTTGTTGCCCGAAGAAAGAAGACGAAGAGGCCCGACAAATTGTCACGAAGAGGGCTGCAACGAATGGCTCCCCATTTTTTGGATCTTTTTTTTTTTTGGGTTCAAAGAATGGGAAGTCATTGTTATTACTTTGTCACTGTGCTTGTTTAGTAATATGTAGTAAATGTTGTGTTATTTGACCGATTGCATGCCGGTCATATCATCCAGATCCAGATTTCATTATGGGCATCGCGATTTTGCATTAGTGTTGCGATTGATTAATAATGAATTAAAATTAAATTGCATTCAAATTAAAATCACGTATTTTATAATGTTAAATTGATCGCGATTTAGTGTTGCGTTGTAAAAAATATCGCGGTTGTTTTTAATTATTTTGATTATGAATTAATCTATTTTTATTTATTTTTTTTTATTTGAATTCATCCTGTAGTTTTGCGATTTATGATATCGGGATATTTGAAATATTTTTTCATTCATAAAATAATATTAAATTTTATATTAAATTTTATATTAAAATTAATTTAAGAATTAGTGTTGCGGCGATAAATTGCGTTGTTTCAAATAATGTTACGTTTAAAAATTGCCCATATTTTTTTCACTTGAATTGCAGGAAATATATTCCTATTCTTCAATCATCAATTGCAATTGAAAGAATTGCACGAAGATGATTGTACAGCGGCAGTCTCTGATAATGATTGCAATCTTTCGTTATTAGTATAATAAAATGTGAGTATAAATTAGTTTTATTAGAGTTTCATAAATAATTAAAATACCTTATCTGAGAATATATATGCTTTCGCGAGTCTTCTATCTTTTTTCTTTTTTTTTTTTTTTTTTTATTTAAGAATTGCATTACATAATAAAGAATATAAACTTGAAAAAGTACTCTTCGCGTTCTTTTAAAATTTTCATACATTAGTGTTGCGAAATAAAAACAGATTTCACACAGTTTGTTCGGCTTTGAATAGATTGTTATATTTTGGTAGTCCTTCTGGCTATTTTTTTTTTATTCATTTTTTTTTTTTTTCAATATTTCATGTGAATAGAACAATTTCAGGAATCATCATGGAAGATATTTAAGTTTTAAAAATATATACTAATTCCATACAATATTCTCCTTTCTTTTCTTCTCTCATTCTATTTAAATATTTATATACATAGTTAGACTCGAGAAAAACTTTTAGATTTTTAATAGGCAGATTAAGTTGAATTTATGGCTAGGTAGGATATTTTTTTAAATTAAGTTTGGAGTTAGATAAGAATGCTTGTGAATTAAGTTAAATTTATGATTAAAATGGAAATTTTAGAAGATATTTATTAAGAAAATATAATTTTCAATATGCATATTTTAATATGAATTATGAAGAACTAATAAAGTATATATAATTTATATACATATAATAATTTATATATATATAAATTATAGCTTGCGTAAAAGGCATAAGAAAGAATTCTGATTTTTTAAAATCGGTATTTTAAAAATGTGATGCGAAATAGATTTCAAATCTATTAAACATTTCATCCATATTTGTATTTTTTTTTTTTTTTTTAATATTTCTTCAAAATTAATATTAATCAATTTTCTAAAATTTATTAATTTTTTTATTCGACGATAATTTATTTCACATAAAAATGCTAATAATCTAAAAATCTTAAAAGTGTTTTTAGATTATGCTAAACCTTATTTACGCAAATAATCTTTGGTTTTTAATTTTTAATGGTAAATAATTAATACGATTATAAAACATTTACCTTCATCTACTTTTACTTATTTCTAAATGTCGTATCATGTATCGGTATAGCAGGAAACTGGTATAGGTAACATGCAGCTTTGATAAATTCTTGTCTAAAGAAATCCGCAGGTTTTTATTGCCATTATTTATTCAAATAATAAATATTGAAATAAAAGACAATTAATAGAAAACTTTAATTTGTAAAGTGCAAAAGAATATTTTTACAACTGTTCCAAGTACTGTTGAAAGGAAAAAATTCATCTATTTTTTCCTTTATTCATTATATATTATTCAATATATATATATTATTCAATAAGATTAAAAATAATAATTTACATTTTTATATATTTATTTATTTTTCTACATTCTTCGATCAAATTTAATTCAAAATAAATCTTCTAAAGTTCATCCCGCGCATTTTCAATCTCAATGTTAGAATATGATATTGTAATCGTAAAGAAAAATGCTTGGGGGTAAAGTAAGCGCAATCTCCGCGTTTATTCTTATCGTGGGTAAGGTCATAAATCAGTCAAGATGCACGATATCGCTGGATCTGTTGCGCGAAAGGGTCGAAAACAATGAACCTTGTTCCTAGGATAAGAGAGTACGGTTACTTGATCCAGTTACTGGCAGTGTTCCTTGAATGATCAAGGGGTTAGGATCGTCACGTACACCGTGCCGCGATGATGCCTTTTGTGACGAGGGCGGCAAGGACAAAAAAAAAGCGCTCAAGCGTGCTTTCATGGGCGCACTAAAATATTCATTGTCTGAAAATGGGCGTTTGTTAGAGTGTGTATAGTCGCTCTGTGCCTCAAGTGGCGAGAGGTCTGAAATACAGCACGGCCGAGTAGGTGTGGAGGCGTTCCTATTATATCTCAAGGCACGAATCCGCTCGAGACTGGGGTTTACAACCCCACAGAAATTCAATATCTTGTTACGTGGACGCGTAATGGGTGTTCTTTCGATCGGTCGATGATGCCCATGACGAGTTCAAAGTCGAGTACAGCTTTACGTTCCACGTTACGATCGGAGAAAACCATTCTCGCGACGATTGTTCTCTCTCTCCGAGGACAATCTTTTTAACGATAATATCGTTCAATAGTATCGCTCGGGTTATCTATTATTAGAAAGAACGTCGCAAAATCGTCCGTTCACGCGAGACGATAATTAGAATCGTCGGAAGGAAATTCTTTGAATCGTGCTCGCTGAAAGGATGGACACTAAGCGCAATCGGAATGGGATATAACGTTGGATGGTGTGCGATATATCGATCGTGATATTAACGTAGTTGAATTAAGTTATACTCGGAGCGAATTATTCTTTTATCCGATAATCGATTTCCATTCCATATTTCGATGAAAATTTTTTTCGATTTTTCGAAAAAAACGCACGACCGTTGCCGTTGTATCGACGAATTTACCATTTATATTCCGAACGCCTATCGTTCCATACGATGGAGAGTTATTAATCGGGAGAGAGGATAAATTTCTGAATATTTAAATTCGTACGCGATACACGGGTTCGCATCGCGTCTCTCCGCGTGACAATTTTTAAAATCTTGAAACGAGCAAACGAAGTGAGGAAGCGAGGAACTGGAACACGATGTGTAAAAAGAAATAAGTCCCAGAGGAGGAGGTAGTTGGGAA